GGTTTCCTCTTTAATGTTCGTCTATTTTTGGTCTGAGTTCATTTATCGTTTATTCATCGTGTTCTTGTTTCACTTTTGGTGTTTTATACAACAGTGCTTCATGGTTTTCCTTTATTTCTTCTTTTTGCTTTTTCTCAAATTCTCTATTTTTGTTGTCTTGGGAATTTCTTGAGTGTCTCCTGTACATTTTGGTTGACCCTTCCCAGTATCATCTCTAAAATTCTCATTGAGTACCTGTAGTATGTCTTCTTTTAAATTATTTCTTGTGGGCTTCATTGGGTCCTTTGGCATAGTTTATCTTCATTTTGTTGGAGTGTGGATCTGAGTTTCTGTTTTCTTCATTCCCCTCTGGTTCCTGTACTAATCTCTTTTGCTGTGGGCGAACTGGTTTCCCTGTTTTTTCTGATTTCCGTCATTGTCTTTGTCTTGTTTAACTGTCCCTGTACGTGTGTGCAATTAAGTATTGTCAGCTTGTAAATAACAATGGTAATATTTAGAATGGAAGGGTGGCTGAGATTGGAAAGCAAGAAGTTAAAGAAAAGGGGAAAACCAAATATACACGAGAAGAGGCAGAAAGCAGAACAAGGCTTTCAGACAAGAAAGTTTCAAAGTCATAAAACAGGGAGCCGTTTAGTGTACTAATTGACAGTAAGCTGAACAGACATTAGAGAGACAGAGAATTGAAAATCAAAAATCAAAAATAAAATTAAGAATAAAAATAAAAAATAAGTTAATGAAAGAAATACGTATATATAAAAATGAATTAAAATAAAATGGAAAATAGAAAATTAAAAAAAACCTTCAAGTTTAAATGCAATGAAGTTTCAGTCTTAATAATTTGGGTGTACGTCTCAGTCTCCATTCCTGGAGATGGTGCCTCAGATGTTGTTCTGTAGTTGTCTCATCAAAGGGGACACATAAAGTAGAACAAATCTACACACACACACACACAAGAAAAACCCCAGCAAGTGTCCCATGTTCAAATGCAATACAGTTTCAGTAAGGTTTTCAGCATGCAGGTGTAATTCGGTTGTTCTCTCATCAAAGGTAGGGCGAAAAAGACAAAAAAGAGTCTGGAGACAGTTCTTGAGAAGGGTATCTGCAGCTGCTGGCTTGCCTGCCTGGCTCTGTCAGGCCTGCTCTAGCTGGGAGGCGTTATTTATGCAGATCTCTGGGGTGAGCTTAGCAGTCACCTGGCCCTGCAGGCTTTGTTTGTTCAGAGTTCTTCCTGTGCGTGAGCCTCTGCTAAAGCTTCCCCTTTCCAAGCACTGGGAAAGGAACATGCACCCGTGGTTGTGTCAGCCTGCGTGTTTACTTACAGTTCAATGTGGAGGTGGTTTACCCCTCTCCTGTGCAGTTTTCCTCCCACTGCCACTTCACAATTCTGCTCCTGATCTACTGCGGTGCTGCTGCTGCTCCTACCGCCACCAGTTGTTTTATAGCTCACGTGAAGTGGTCTTCCTCCTCCTGTGGAGTTCCCTCCTTCCGCCACTCTCACAAGTTTTCCCGCTCCTGGTTGCTGGGTGCGCGCCTCCGCTCCCACCAGAGTCTCTCCAGCCCGCCCTGCTTGTTTATTTACAGTCCCGGGAAGGATTCCCTTCCCCCAATCTTCAGCGCTCAGGGCACCCCACCCTCTTTCCCATGTGTCTTTATTGTTCTTATTGCTTATTAGTCAATTTCTCTTTTTTCCCCGGCTGGAGGTCTGTCTGTCCAGGGGGCTGTGGTGCTCTGGCCCAGGCTTGTCTGTGGGAGTACCACGGTACCACGAAGCTCATCTGGTCCGTGTCTTCCCAAGCCATCTGGGTGCCGGCAACTCTTGATATATATTTTAATAAAGAGGAGGTCTTGCTTACTGAAGGATAAAACAATTTTCTACTTTTATTTTTTTAATTAGCATACAGTCAATCTGACTTTTGTGTATGTGTGTGCAGGTCTATGACTTTTTGACATAGTTACAGATTTATGTAACCAACATCACAGTCAAGATACAAAATAGTTGTACCACCTTCCCCCCCAAGAAAACTCTCATGCTATCCCTTTGTAATAACACTGGAACCCATCCCTGACCTATAGTTACCACCAGTTATTGCTGTCTCTGTAGTGTGTCTTTATAGAATATCACATGGATGGTATCATACAGTATATAATCTTTGGAAAATGGCTCCTTCCTTTCAACATAAAGCTTTTTTTTTTGGCTGTACTGGGACTTGAACTCAGGGCCTTCACCTTGAGCCACTCTGCCAGCCCTTTTTGTGCTGGGTACTTTTTCTTTTTTTTTCTTTCTGAGCTGTTCCCATGCTTTCGGCACAGAATCATCCACATGAAGAATAACCCTGTTTCCTAAAAGCTGGATTTACTATCAGCTCACCACTGGATTGCACCAGCCAATTCTGGGTACTTTTGAGATAGGGTCTTGTGAACTATTTTCCCGGGCTAGCTTTGAACCACAATGCTCCTGATCTCTGCCTCCTGAGTGACCCACTGGTGCCCGGCTCAACATAATGCTTTTGAGATTCTTCCAAGTTGTTGGATATTACATGTATCAGTAATTCCTTTTTGTTGCTGAGTAACGTTCATTGTATATGGATATACTACAGCTTGATTATGCCTTAAGGATATTTAGGTTGATTATAAATTTTGGTGCTTATAAATAGAGTTGCTATAAATACTATACGGGTTTTGTGTGAATAGAATTTTTCATTTCTCTAGTATAAATATCTAGGAGTGGGATTTGGGGTCATATAATAAGCATATGTTTAAATTGATAAGACCCCATCAAATCAGTTTCTAGAGTAGCTGTTCCAGCACTCAGTCAATATATATATATATACTTTTTGTGGTACTGGGGTTTGAACACAGGATCTACACCTTGAACCACTCCACCAGCCTTTTTTTGTGTTGGGTTTTTTCGAGATAGCGTATCAAAAACTATTTGGTGGGCTGGCTTCAAACCTTGATCCTCCTGATCTCTCTTTTCTGAGGATTACATCCCTTCCACCAGCCCTTGGTCAATATTTTTAATTAATTAATTAACTTTATTTTTAATTTTGCAGTACTAGGAATTGAACCCAGGGCATTGTGCATGCTAGGCAAGTGCTCTATCACTGAGCTACATGTATCCCACCCAGCTCTCGTCAATAGTGTTAATTTGCATTTCACAAATGATTAATGATGAACTTTTTACTTGTGTTTACTTGCCATCTATATTTCCTCTTAGGTAAAGGGTCTGTTCATGAACAGTTTATTATCAGGTATCTGGTTTACAAATATTTGTCCTAATCTTTAGTTTGTCTTTTAATAACATATTTTTCACAGGAAATTTTTATATTTTTATCAGTTTTAATCTTTTATGGATCAGGTTTTTGGTGTCTTATACAAGAACTCTTTGCCACACCCATGATAATTTCCTCCATTTTTTTTCCTGCAGTGCTAGGGATAGAAACCAGGGCCTTATACATGCTAAGCAAGCATGCTACCACTGAGCTAACAACCCAGAGTTTTTTTTTTTTTTGATACAAGGTCTTGCTGTTTAGTTCTGGATTACAGGCATGCGCCACTATGCCCAGCTTTTCCTATTTTTTGTCAGAAGTTAAATAGTTGTATATTTTGCATTTATATTTTTAGTTCATTTCTGTGTAAAGTATGAGGTGGACTTTGTTTTTGCACATGGATCCAGTTGTCTCAATACAGTTTGTTGATAGGACTATTTTTTTCCCTTGAATTGCCTTTCTACTTTTATACTTACTGAGTTTAGATTTTGCTGAGCTTCTGGAATCTCTAAGTTTATCTTTTACTAAATTTGGAAAGGATTTTGTTATTATTTTTTTCAGATAGACTTTCTGTTTGACATTTTTTCACTTTTCCTTCTTTGATCCCAAAAATGCCAATTTAGACTTTTGGTATCATTCTATAGATTCCTAAAGCGCTATTCTTTTTTGAAGTTATTTTTCTGTGTTTAGCTCGCTGGAAAATTTCTGTTGATCTATCATCAGCTTCATTGACACTTTCTACTATCATCTCTCTTCTGTTGTAGAGTCCATATCCTGAGTTTAAGTTCTAAAATTTCTATTTGCTTCTTCCTTGTATCTTTTCTTTCTTTGCTGAGACTTTCATTTTGTTTCAAAAGTATTACCTTTACTTAAAAAATTTATAATAGCTTCCTTAAAGTCTTTATCAAATAATTCCATCAAATAATTGATGGCATTTATCAAGTAATGCCAAGATTGTGTCATCTTGGCATTGGTGTCTATTGTTTTCTTCAATGGGATTTAAAATTTGACTGGGTCTACCCATGAATTTTGTATTTTATCTTGGACATTTTTAAATATTATAAGACTCTTGGACTTGTTTCAATGTTATGCAGAATGTTAATATTTTTGTTTTAGGAGATAGTCAACCCAATTAGGTTTAGCCTACCAGTTCTCACCATCCTTCTCTGGACTGTGCTTTTAATGTCAGAGCAGTTTTCAAAGTCTGTGCAAACATACTTGGAACAGTCCTGTGTATATGCCCTATAGTGTCTGGTCTAGGACTTAAGTCATGGTCTATCTCTTCATTCAGTTCTAAGAGTCTGTAATCAACAGTTTAGTATTAGATCCATGTATGTCCAACTTCCGAATGAGTCCAAGAGTTGAGAAACAACTTTGTAATTTCAAGTTTTGAGTGTTCCCTCTTTGATCTCTTCAGTCTTCCTGGTTCATTGGCCATTTTCAGTGCTTCTGATATAAAATCAGAGTTTTTATTACCCAATTCTGTTGTGCACTTTTTGTTACTGTGCCTATGGCTGAGGTCAAGGAGCAGAAGGACAGAGAGGATAAAAGAAAAGAAAAAAACACCACTGTTCTCTCGCTGAAAAGGAAGTTTCCTGTCATTCAGAGTTTTTGTTTCCTGTTATTCCCCCATTGTCACTGCTGCCACAAAAGATTTGCTGGATCATATGGAAGTTCTGTTTTTAGTTGTTTTTGAGGAGCTTTCTGTGTCGTTTTGCATAGTGGTTGTCCTCATTTATCCTACCAGCAGTGCATGAGGGTTTCTTTTCCCCCTAAATCCTCAACAACATTTTTTTGTTGTTTGTGTTCTTGATGGTAGCCATTCTAATGGGAATGAGATGGAATCTTAATGTGGTTTTGATTTGCATTTCCTTTATGGACAGGAGTGCTGAGCATTTCTTCATGTGTTTATTGGCCATTTGTAGTTCTTCCTTTGAAAATACTCTGTTCAGTTCAATTGCCCATTTCTTCATTGGGTCATTCATTCTTTGGGGGTTTAATTTTTTGAGCTCACTGTATATTCTGGTTATTAATCCTTTATCAGATGTATAACTGGCAAAATTTTTCTCCTATTCTGTGGGCTTCCTCTTCAATCTGGTCACCCTTTCCTTTGCTGTGCAGAAGCTTTTTAATTTCATGTAGTCCCATTTGTCAATTCTTTCTCTTAGTTACTGAGCCATTAGAGTTCTATTTAGGAGCTTATTGCCTATGCCTATATGTTCCAGTGTATTCTCTACTCTTTCCTACACTAGTTTCAGGGTTTCAGTTCTTATATTAAGGTCCTCAATCCACTTTGAGTTGACACTTGTACAGGGTGAAAGACATGGATCTACTTTCAGTTCTCTGCATCCAGATATCCAGTTTTCCCAGCAATATTTGTTGAAGGGCTGTCTTTTCTCCACTTAATGTTTTAGGTGCCTTTGTCAAAAATTAGGTAGGAGTAGCTGTGTGGATTTATATCTGGGTCTTCTATTCTTGAACAAATCATTTTCTGTTCTCACAAAAGAGTTTAAATGGAGAGGCGAAGCAAATAAATAAGTTTAATAAAGAAATGCATAGGATGGAACAGGAAAACAAGGTCAGGAAAGTTTCATAGAAGTAGTGCCCCTTGAAGAATAAGTGTTTGCCTCTTGGGGCACAGGACAGAGAGGTATGTTGACAGAAGTACATGTAATTGAGTATTTCAGTAGATTGTGTCATAGATCTCTATGTAGTAATATAGTCCATAATACATAGTGTTAAATACAAAAACCAAAGTGAAAACATTGTGATGATATGATTCCATGTGTGAAAGAAGCAAAACCGTATCTTTATGTATGTGTGTAAGCACATAGCAAAATTTATGAAAGAACATCTACTTCTTGGGAGGTGGGATAGACGCAGAGGTAGGAATATGAAAGAAGACTGTACAATTTGTGGCTTTTAGGAGATTGTTTTCAATTATTATGTATGTTATTAAATATAGAGATAATGAATAAATAAATATTGGAATAGTGATACAGTGGAATGTTATTCAACCATGTAGATACCATTGTCAGTCACTAATTTGCAAATACTCTCTGGATTTTAAACCCTTTTCTCAAACAATTACATCAAGTTCAAGTTTTGAGAAAAGTGTGGGTTTTTTTCCCTAAGTTATGCTGGGGGTGGGGCTGAAGATCTCAATTCCTATTTTTGTGTGCATGCGTTCTTGCAAATTAAGAGGTCTGGAATGTTTTATAGATTCTGAGTGTTAAAAATCACAGTCTCTGAGAGATAACATTAAAAATGTTTTAAAATTTTTAATTATTTTTTCTATAAGAAAGAAATATTTGTTATGAATAGATTTTTTTTGTATAAAACACTCAATACTGGAGCTCTATTGTGAATTGGATATTTTCATACATTGATGATGGGAGTGTAATTTGAGACATCTGTTTTGGAAAGAGATTTAGTATCATGTGTCAAGAATCTGAAAATGATCATACCTTTCATCTTAGTAATTACACTTCTAGGAATTTGCCCTGTGAAATAACCCAAGACATGTAAAAATATGTTCATGAGAACATTATCTACAAGACGAAAATGGACTCCTTTAATATCTCACATTACATTTAATGAAATATTGTGAAGAATTTTAAAATAACATTGGGAAAGTCTTGATAAATGAGAATTTACCTTCTCAGTTATCCTAGAGATATATAGTAATTTACTTTTTTGGCAGGACTAGGGACCAAACCCAGGACCTCACACATGCAAGGCAGCCATTCTACCAGTGAGCTACACTCCTAGCCCAGTAATTTTTTTTCCTTTTTTGTGAGCTGGAGGTTGAACCCTGGGCCTATCAATGCTAGGCAAGTTCTCTACTACTGAGCTGCAGTTGAAGCCCAATAATTAATAGGTATTATTGTGTGTACCATTATTTTGTTTTGTTTTGTTTTGTTTGGTGGGACCAGAGTTTGAACTCAGGACTTCATACTTGCAAAGCAGGTGCTCTACCACTTGAGCCACACTTCTAGACCCCATTACTTTTATTTATTTATTTATTTATTTGAGACAGGCTTGTCTAGAATTTGTGATCCTCCTGCCTCAACCTCCCAAGTGCTGGGATTGCAGGAATGCACCATTCACTATGTCTGACTTATTTATTTTTTTATTATTGTATACCATTCCATTTTTATGATTATACCATAATTTATCTATTTATATATTTGATTTGTTTCCAGTTTGAGACTATTATGAGCAAAGGTGTTGTCAACATCTTTTTGTGGATATGTACACTCATTTCTCTTGGGTAAATGCTTAGGAGTAGGATTGCAGTACCATATGGTAAATGTATATTTAATTTTATGAGACTGCCAAACTATTTTCCCAACTGTACCAATGTAAACAACTACCAGTAATGTGGTAGAGTTCTAGTTACTCCATATCCTTACTAGTACTTAATATTGATAATTTTTTTTAATTTTAGCCCTTTTGGTGGATATGTAATGGTGTGACATTGTGGTTTTATATGTGCTTTGGTGCCTTTGGTTTTAACGTTCATACCTTTTGAACTAATAATTTAATTTTTAGGGTGTTTTCCTAAAGGTATAATCTGAAGTACAGAAAAAAGTTATATGGATAATATATCCATATATATTTGCATAACTCATAATAACGAAATGTAAGAAATAATCTAAATGTCAGGCATTGTGGAAGTGGTTACATAATTTATGATACATTCATAATGATAAAATATGGAGCCATTCCAAATTATTTAGATAGATTAGATTAGATTAATATAATAAAAGCAGGTACAAAATTATACATATAGTATAAATTATAGAAAAGTGTATATTAAAACAACCTGGGTATACCTAGCTGGGCATGGTGGTGCATGTTTATAATCCTAGCACTCAGGAGGCTGAGGCAAAAGGATCATGAGTTTGAGGCCAGCCTGGCCTACATAGTGAAATCCTGTCTCAAAAAAGAAAGAAGGAAAGAAAGAATGGGAGTTAAGAAAGAAGGAAAAACAAAAAAGAGATTGGGTATACTTAAAATTTTCTTTCAAATACTATAAGGAAACACACCAAAATATCTTTGGATGATTGTACTGTGTGATTTACATCCTCTGATCCTTACGTATTTTTTTTCAAAAGCATATGTGATGATTTTAGAATAGCACAAAATGTAAATAAATTTTAATTTAAAAAAATATTCTAGACCTTATGTTCCATTAATGCATTTTCTCTACATAATTTTTTCTGCAAAGTAGAAATTTGCTCTCTTGGGTTTCTTTAAGTATTCGATTTCTCCTGTTGTTTTGAGTACCAAATGATAAGTTGTTTATAAAAGACACTCTCATGTTGTTTCTTTTTCTGAAAATCTGATGTTTCAACATCCAGTCCAGGACAGAAGATAAAATAGAGCGATTCAAGAAAGCAGTTGAGTACTATTCTGTCACAACCAAACTCTCTTCGCTTCCAGTGGGTCCCTCCTTTCTAGGTAAGGATTCCAGCTGACCCAACATGTTCAGTTCATAGGGGAAACTGAATTGGTTCCTCAGGAACTCTAGGGTCAGAGTGGAATCATTTGTTGTGATTTTGCCTTCCTGGAAGTCATTCCTGTTTGGTAGGTATTTTCCTTTGGATTTCCATGTCATGGGAAAGGACCCTGTGTTCTCAGATTTATAGATGGGTTTAATGCTGTCTCCTTAACTTGAGCTTCTTCAAGTGCAAATCCCCATTTTGGCCTGTATATGTAGAATAGTCCTGTCTTTGGCATCTGGCCTGAGTTTGAATTCTGATCCTTACCAGCTGTGTGACCCTGACAAGTCACATTTATATGAAATGTCACTCTTAATAGCTATTCTATAGGCTTTTTATTAGATGAAATAATTAAGATTCCTGGCATGAAACATAATAAATTTTAACTTTTTAGATAGTGCTGGGGTTAGAACCTAGGGCCTCATACACACGAGGCATATCCTAAGCCCATAACTTACTAGTAACAATATTTCATGCGGTGATGGGTTAGCAGAATGTAATATTGTAAAAATTATTTGAATTGACTGAAGTATAGCCCTTTCTTTTGTCTTCAGGCTTTCGAAATAATCGGCTTGGAAATCCTCCCCTTCCAAGAAATCAAATGGGCACCATTTCTGCTGGAAAGCCAATGGTTAAGTATCCTTTAAGAGGCCTAAGACTATCTGTTAGCATGAGACTCATTTTTTATGATCTGAGTTGAGGAGTTAGAGTGATTCAGTGCTATAAGACCATGAAAACTATGCATACTTACTTCACATTCTACCTTGAGACTAGCAGACTATGTAAAGAGAGCATCCAAATCAGTAACCATTACAGCGATGTGAAGGTAGATTAGTTAATGTCACAGAATGATTCTAGCAGATCTAGTCTGGTTCATTGTCCTGCCTTTGACATCACTGTGGAATTATTTCTTATGCCCCTACTATTAGCATCATCTACTATGACACAACTTCAGAGGGAACCATCCTGGAGCCTGGTACAATATTAAATATCTATTCTATCTGTTTTGTCCTCTAGTTTTCTCACCACGTGCCCCAGAAAATGAAATATCCACCACCATTCCCAATGGGACCCAACTCATCTCTTCTTTTCTCCTCCCATGCTCTGGGGGAATCCAGTGCTTTTTCTGAGGATCCCATGCTTCAGGACAACCCCTTTACCAGTTGGGCTGTCTCTTATGACTCCTCTGCATCCCAGTTTCCCAATTACCTGACTTCCAAAGCCTCACCTCCTTTGGGACCAGACTCTTCCCCCTCCTCTTCCTCTGAGGGTGATGAGCCAAATGGAGCCAATTCCGAGTAAGTATCTGAAGAGACACCTAGAGGAAAAGAGTGCGGAAGAAATGTGGGGAAGTGTATATTCTTGGCTTCCCTCTTTGGCTTGCGCAGGTGGTAATTTTCAGAGACCCAGGCCATTGAAGAAAAGCCAGCACAGCAGTTAGTTAGAGAATCCCTGATATGGATGTGCTACATAACTTGGCTGTCATTTCTCAGTTTGTAAGGGCGATATATTGAATATTGTTTTTCAAAAAGGGCTGTGATATAGCTCAGTGGTAGAGTGCTTGCCTAGCATGCACAAGGTCCTGGGTTTGGTCTCCAGAACTGAAATTAAATAAATAAATCTAAAAACATTTCCTGTGTATGGCGGTACATGCCTGTAATCCCACCTAATCAGTGGGTGGATATTTGGAGGATTGTGGTTTGAGGCTAATCAGGGCAAAATATTAGACCCCATCTTACCAAATAAGCTGGGCACTATGGCATACATCTATTATCCCATCTACTGGGAGGCATAGGTAGGAGGATTGCAGTCCAGTCTGGTGTGGGAAAATATGTAAAACCCTATCTGAAAAGTAACTAAAGCAAAAAGGACTGTGGATATTGCTCAAGTGGCACAGCACTAGCCTAGTATGCACAAGACCTTGAATTCAGTCCCAATACCACCAAAAAATAAAGAAAAAAAAAGGAAAAAAGAAGAATTTTTAGAAATGAAGTATTGAAATGTTAGAATAGACAGTTGTATTGTTTAGTAACTAATACAGGGCTGTTATATTAACTCATTTGTTTTAGATTATTCCTCTAAGCAGATTATTCCTAGGAAACAGCTGCTTTGAGATTGCAAGTGTAATTCTTTTCTTAGAATGTAAGCACACTCCAAGCATCGCCTCTTCAAGGTATAAAGGATTCAGAGTGATTTCCATGACTTTTGGTTACTTTGGTTTGTGTCAGGTGAAAGAAGCCAGGACAGTGATGGCCACTGAGAGGAATTGGTATCAGGTCCAGTATTAACTCAGTGTCCTCACCTAGGATTGTGAGAGTACCTGGAATCAGAGAAGACATATTAAATGGAACTACCTTTATCAACCTCCCTTTTCTGTCCTGCACTGTGTTTCTAAATTTTTTAGTCACATCACAGAAGCACTTCAACAGCAGCCTGGATGGGACGATCCCAGTGGTGACAGAGGGTCTTGGGTACAGCCTGTTGATGCTGGAGTTTCAGAAGCCAGCCTAGGTGATGGTGAACCTCACATCCCATCTCTGTTATCTATGTCTACAAGGAACCACATGGACATCACCATTCCACCCTTACCTCCAGTAGCTCCCGAAGTCTTGCGGGTTGCCGAACACAGACACCGGAGGGGTCTTATGTATCCGTATATCTACCATGTCCTCACTAAGGTGAGGTGGCACATCAGCACCTACCTCCCTGCTCTTAACAGTACTTCATACTTCCTAGAACCATAAGTTACCAGAGAAAAGTATGATCATTGGTATCTGAAATGAGATAAAAGGAGCCCAGTATGTTGATGCCCCTCCTTGCTTTAAAGGGCCTTGGGTGAGGTGAGACCACCAGGAGATGGAACTGTGCAATAAATGAGACCTCTAGAAGAGAAGTCTGTTAGATTTTGAAGTAGGTAATACACCAAGTTGATGGGCTCTGGTTCTAGAGATAGGCACAATATAAGAAGCAGCTTTGTGCCCTTGTTCCTTATCTCTTCCTCTACTTCTACAGTGCTGTTGACATCTTCTAGTCTCATCATATAATATATCCCCCAATGAAATATCTAACATAGATTGTCACCAATAGTCAGCTATAAAATGATATATAACTTGTAACCTGACTCTGGTCAGCTGGGCTTGTTACAGCTTTTTAATCTAAAATTCCTCTGAATACAAATAGAAAATGTAGTTTCTAGGGTACAGAGGCAATAGTTCATTACTGTTTCTTTTCATCTTAGTTCCAAACTTTGAAAAAACTCAATTTTCTCCTTCTCCTTGGACCATTCTCTTATTAGGGTGAGATTAAGATCCCTGTATGTATTGAGGATGAGTGTAACATGGAACTGCCTCCAGCTGCTCTCCTGTTCCGGTCAGCTCGTCAATATGTATATGGAGTCCTTTTTAGTCTGGCAGAGACACAACGGAAAATGGAACGCCTGGCTATACGTCGGCGGCTACCCTTAGAAAGTAAGTATACATCTAGTTCTTTCAGAGACACAGCAGTAAACCTCTGTGCAAGCACACCATACTTTTGGCTATAGAACAGTCTTTAAGAAAAATGCATCATTCACCAAAATACATATTGATGTAGGAAATATGCTAATGTAAGCCCCAATTCTGCAATCGTCTAGCATTTAGAATGAGTACTTCTTATAAGAACCATGCTGGGCTTTGAGAATATAGGTGCGTATCTGATAGTCTCTTCTCAGTGAAGTTGTTTTGGGATTTGATCCTGTAGGTGGTTGAAACCATGGGATTTTTTAAGCTACAAAGTAACTTGGTCAAATGAACATGTTCAAGGAATACTTTAGATTTCTGCTTCTAGGAACATAGAATATATATGTGTATATATATATATATTTTTTTTTTCTGCTAACTACATAAAAAATCCCAGGACATTATACATGAAATAACCAAAAGATACTCCAGAGTTACAGACCTTGGGACCCAAGGAATCATACAGTGTTGCATTAGTGAGTTCTCTGAGTTTTCTTTTTGCCTCACACATCTCAGACTGTGTATGAGACAAGTTGGCAGGCAGCCCAGAAATTTTAGCTTCAGGTCAATAAAATCCCCCTCCACATCATGCTTTCTTTGGCTAAAGGACCAAAAGGAGCAATCTAGCAACAAAGAAAATTTTTAGGTAATAACTGTTATACTGTAATCAAACACCATGGAAAAAACTCTGGTCTAGCCTCACCCGCACCAGCAAAGGCCTTATAAGAGCTTTATAAAGATCCTGGACTTCCACCCTTACCAGGTTGCAATGACGTGCTTCCGTACTACTGCTGGGGAGGTGTCAGACAAAGTCACATGAGGAGCTAAGACTTCCATTTCTACCAAAGTGTCTTCCTTCAATCACTGTAGTGATTAAAAAGGCCTGCTAAAACACAAGATTTAAATAAGATCCAGAGTATTTTAAAGTGAGACTCAAAATTTGGGGGCTTCAACTAAAAATTCATCATACCAAGAATTAGGAAGGTTTCAAATTCAATTCTCAAACCAAATGAGAAGAAAATGAACACCATTTATCTGAGAAGGATTTCAAAACATCCATCATAACAATGTTTTAATAAGCATTTGCAAATATACTTGAGAGAAATTGAAAATAGAAACTCTATGCAAAAATATAGAAGATTTAAAGACAACCAAATAGAAATCAATAACTAAAAAATACAGTAATCAAAGTAAAATTCTCAATGGATAGTTTAAATGGCAGAGTGGAGACAAAAGAGGAAGTAATCAGTGAACTTGAAGACATAATAATAAAAATTACCCCATCTGAATAACAGAAAATAGACTGAAAAAAATGAACAAGGATCTATAGGAATATAATAAAAGATCTAATTAATACTTGTATCATCAGAGTCTCAGAAGAAGAGGTGAGTCTATAGAAGTATTGAAAGCAATAATGGCTGGAATATCTTAAAATTTGGCAAAAACATAAAACTATAGATTCAAGAAAGTGAGTAAATTATAAACCCAAATAAATCCATGTCAACATAGATCATGTTCAAATTTTCTAAAAACAAAGACAGGGAAAGAACTTATTGAAAGGAGCCAGACAGAAATAATGCTTTATTTATAGGGGGAAAATAATACAAATAACAGCTGATTTCTCATTCAGAAGCTTTAGAGTCTAAAAGGAAGCAGCACAACATTGTCAAGTACTGAAAAAAAAAAAAGAATTGTCAACTCAGAATTACCAAACAAGAAGATCCTTCTCATTAGAAAATCATGACATTTTCAGATGAAGGAAAACTAGGATAATTTTCACAAGCAGACCTACCATACAAACATTAATCAAAAGAAAGAGGCAACTGTTGTATTACTACCACAGAGAAAACCATATAATGGTAAAAAGATCAATCTGCCAAGAAGACATAACAATGTCAGTGTCATCAAATAACAGGAACTGATGGAAGGGAAGGGGAGGGGAAAGGAAAGCAAAGAGGGAAGGAAAGCACAGAGGAAAGGAAAGGGAAGGGGAGTGAAGGGAAAGGAAAAGAGAAAGGAAAGGGAACAGAGAAGAGAAGGGGAAGGGAAGGAGAAGGGAAAAAAGGAAAGAGGGCAGGGAAGGGGAAAGGAAAAGGAAAGGAAAGGAAAGGGGAAGGAAAGAGGGATGGGAAGGAAAGGTGGGAGAAGGAAAGGAGGAAGGAAGGAAGATAGAGAAAAACTCAACAAAATCAATAAAGAGGAACTAATCAACTATTAAGAGAACATGTGGCACAATACACATTGTGTGGTGAGCACAATACACATTGTTTTTATGCACCACAGAGCATATGCTATGATAAATGGCCATAAAACAAACCTCAAGACTGGGCTCACTGGCTCAAGCCTGTGACCCTAGCTACTTCAGAGGCAGAGATCTGGAAGATCTTGTTTCGAGGCCATTGGGCACAGTGACGCGTGCCTGTCATACTAGCTATATAGGAAGCACAAACAGGAGGATCCTAGTCCAGCCTTGCCCAGGCATAAAGCAAAACTTTGTCTCTAAAATAAATGCAAAAAAGGACTATCAGAGTGGCTCAAGGGGTAGAGTGCCTGCCTAGCAAGTGTGAGGCCCTAAGTATAACCCCCAGTACCACCAAAAAAACAAACAAAAAGCCTCAATAAATTTAAACAAATTAAAATGATAGAGTATATTCTCAGACCACTATGGAATCAAATTAGAAATCAATAGAAAGATAAAAAAAATTTACAAATATTTGGAAAATAACATAGCATATCTACATAATCCAGGGGTCAATGAAGTCTCAAAGGAAAGAAATACATTGAACTGAATGAAAAATTAAAAAAAAAACAAGTCCCTCAATTTATGATGGTGTGTGTTCTAATGAACTCATTGTTAAGTTGAAAATATCTTAGGTTGAAAATTCATTTAGTACACCTAACCTAGTGGACACAGTTTAGCAACACAGCACACTGTAGAGTATTGGTTGTTTCACCTCATTGTTGTGTGGTTGACTAGGAGTTGTAGCTTGTTGCTGGTGCCCAGCATTGTATCATACTTCTATTATCATTAGTCTGGGAGAAGACTGAAATTCAGAGTATTCGTTCTATTGAATGAATATCAATTTTGAACCATCATAAAGTCAAAAAGTATAAATTTAGCCATGAAAAATGAAAAATTTGTGGGATAAAGCTAAATAATTGCTGAGAGGGAAATTTATATCACTAAATGCTCATATTAGAAAAGGCAAAGCTGAGTGTGGTGGAACAGTTTGTAATGCCAGCACTCTGGAGGCTGAGGCAGGAAGAGCACAGGTTTGAGACCAGTCTTTACTAATCATGATGAGTTCCAGGCTAGCCTGGGCTCATAGTGACACCCTCCTCAAAAAAGAAAGAAAGTTTAAAAAAAGGAGAAGTTTGTAATAATAATCTAAATTTTCATCTCAAGAAACAAGAAGAGGGATTAAAAATTAAACTCAAAGCAAACCAAAGGGAGGAAATAATAAAGGATAACAGCAGAAATCAGTGAAGTTGAAAGCGAAAAATAGTACATAAAATTAATGAAACAAAAACCTAGGTTTTTTTGGAAAGAACAATAAAACTGACAAATTTCTAGCAAGACAGCAAAAAAGAGAAGATATAAAATTACAGCAAGAATGAAATATGGATATCATTATAAAAAGTACAGACATCCAAAGGATTGGAGAGAATAATAATTCTGTACACATAAATTTGACAACTTAGATGAAATATACCAATTTCTTATGATATACAAACTGCTATAAGTCACTTAATGTTAAAAGTTATTTGAATACCCCTATAAAATATTGACGAGATTTAACTTAAAATTCCAAAAAAAGAAATCTGACTCATTTGATCTCACTGGAGAATTCTACCCATTGTTTAGCAAAGAATTTTCCATAATCTTTTCCAGAAAATAGAACAGTTCCCAACTTGTTCTGTAAAACCAGTATTACCCTGATACTAAAGTCAGCTAAAGATATACATTAAAACACTTAAGAACACTATATCATAACATCATATGTATAAGATGACATCATAAATTAATATATATTATGGTCTGAATGTTTATGTTCCTGTACCCCCACCAAATTCATATGTTGAACTCTTAACCCCCAGTGTGATGGTTTTAGGCAGAAGGGCCTTTGGAAGGTAATTAGATCATTTGAATGGAGCCTTCATGAGTAAGATTAGTGCCTTTGCAAACAGAACCCCAGAGAACCCTTTCTTCTCTGACATATGAAGATATAGTGAGAAGCCAGACATCTGCAAACTAGCAGATGGGCCCTCACCAGGTGTATAAGCTAGGACTTGGATCTTAGACTTTCCAGTCTCCAGAACTATGAGAAATAAATTTCTCTTGTTTATAAGCCAGGCAGTCTGATACATTGTTATAGCAGCTCAAACAGACTAAAACAATGAAGATGCAAATATTCTTAAAATGTTAGCCAGTATTAAGAGGATAAAGAGTTCAAGGCCAGCCTGGGCTACATAGTGTGACCCTGTCTGAACCCTCCCCCCCCAAAATAATTATCCAGGAGATGTCAACAACATAAAAAAGAATTATACATTATGATCAAGTAGGGTTTAATTCCATTGTTGCAAGGCTGGTCCAATATTTGAATTTAATTTTTAAAAATTTGAAAAATTAACCAGTGTAATCCATCATCTAAAAAGAAAGAAGAAAAGTCATGTGGTCGTATCAATGGCTACAGAAAAAGTATTTGACAGACTATGACACTCATTCATGATAAAATTCTGAGAAAACTAGAGTAGAAGACACTGCCTTAACTTGATAACAACTGCAAAAAACTTAAAGCTGGCATTATTGAAAGATTGAATGTTTCTGTCCTAAAATAAGGGACAAGGCTAGAATGTCTGCTCTTCAACCTAGGATTGCAAGTTGTAGCCAGAGTAGTAAGATAAGAAAACAAAATAGAAGACTCAACATAGTCAAGATATTCTCTCCAAATCGATACATAAGTTTGATACAATTCCTGTCTAAATTGTGACAAGATTCTTTATAGATACAGATAAGATTTATATGGAAAAGCAAAGGAATCCAACTAGCAAACATTTTGAAATGGAAGAGTAAATTGGGAACAACTGTTGAACCTAATTGCAAGACTTCTATAACTACAATAGTTAGCACTTGTGGTATTAGCAAAGATTTTGGTACACAGATACACAGAATGCAATAAGCAATCCAGAAAAAGTTTTGACAGAGCTGCAAAAGCACTTCATAGGAAGAAGGATTTTGTTTGATGGTACTGGATCAACTGGACATTCATAAATGAACAGGTCCACATGTCTAGACTGGTATTTAAAATACGTAAAATATCATCAAAATTCAACATTATAAAAGCAGTTCAACTAGGAAATCAGCAAGTGACATTTCATTGAAGAAAATAAACATATGGTAAATAAAAATATAAAATGATGTTCAACATCTTTAGCTATTAGATAAATGCAAATTAAAACCACAGTGAACCTATCAAAACAGCTAAGACTAATTACAGTGTTAATACCACATGCCAGAAAGGATGCAGAGAAAATGAATCATGCATAAATTGCTGCTAGGAATGTAAAATGGTACTACCACTCTGGAAGATAATTTGTCATTTCCTTTAAAAACAAATGTTGGCAAGGAAGTGAGGAAAAAGGAACCCTTATACACTGTTGGTGGGATTGTAAATTGGTACAACTACTATGGAAAGTAGTATGGAGTTTCTTTAAAAAACTAGAAACAGAACTACCATATGATCCAGTAATACCACTCCTGGGTATGTATCTGAAGGAATATACCTGAAGTCAGGTTACAACAAAGGCACCTGCACACCCATGTTTATTGCAGCATTATTCACAATAGCCAAGCTATGGAAACAGACCTGATGCCCCATACTGATGAATGGATTAAGAAAATGTGGTACATATCAACAATGGAATATTATCCATGCATAAAGAAGAATGAAATTATGTCATTTGCAGATAAATGGACGAAACTGGAGATCATCCTGTTTTTTTGTTCGTTTTTTGTGGGTTTTTTTTTTTCTTGCCATACTGGGGCTTGAACTCAGGGCCTACACCTTGAGCCACTCCACCAGCCCTTTTTTATGAAAGGTTTTTTTTGAAATAGGGTCTCGCAAACTATTTGCCAAGTCTGACTTCAAACTGTGATCCTCCTGATCTCTCCTAAGTAGCTAGGATTACAAACATGAGCCACCGGCACCTGGCTTGGAGATCATCATGTAAAGTGAAGTAAGCCAGGTTCAGAGACACAAAGCTCACATATTTTCTCTCATATGTGAAAGACAGATCCAAAGATAAGCACATACACAAATATAAGCATGATTGTATATACATATATATATATATATGTGTGTGTGTGTGTGTGTATGTGTGTGTGTGTGTATACAGAATATGTTTCCAATAGTGGGACTGTTTGGGGAGACCAAGGGGAAGAGGGAGAGGAAAAGAGAATGACAGAGAATGAATAATATTTAAACACATTACATCTGTGTAGGAAGAAGGCATAACAAAATGCACTGAAACCTGTTGAACAATATGGGATGGGGGAAAGGGTAAAGAAGAGTAATAGAGTGGTTTAGATGGTACAATATATTCATAGATGCAGTAGGATGACAAAACTCCTTTGAACAAGGACAATACACTTAAACAATGAAGGACAGTGATGTAAAACAGGTTCTGTTAGGAAGAAGGTGTTTGTGAGAGTGGGAGGGTGAATGGAGAGGATAAAGGAGGGTAAATATGGTTGATTTACTTTATATATGTGTGTAAAGACAGAACATTGAAACCTGTCAGTCAATTTCAGTAGGAGGAAAGGGGGGAGGGAGATATAGTGGGGATGAACCTGACCAAGGTATATTTTAAGCATGTATGGAAATGTCACAATGAAACCTCCTGTACAACTATTATATACTAATAAAAATGTTTTTAAAAAACTGAAAATAGACTTGCCATACATCCCAGCACTTATACACTCTTGGGTATTTATCCCAGAGAATCAAGACTTATTTTCATGCAAGAACTTAATTTATTTATTCACTTATTTTTGTGATTCTGGGGAAAATCAAGGCCTCATTCATTTCAAGCAAGTGTACTCTTAGCAGCTTTTTTCTTAATAGCCTCAAACTGGAAATAATCCAGAAATCCTTCAATGGGTGAATGGTATATCCATGCCATGGAATACTACCCAGTAAACAGGAGTGAAGTATTGATTGATGACATGGATGGATCACAAGGGCGTTAACACTGAGTGGAAATGCCAATCTCAAAATGTTGTATATTGTATGATTCCATTTTTATAACATTCTCAAAATGACAAAATTGTAAAGATGGAGAACAGATCAGTGGTTTCAATGAGTGCTGGAAGGTGTTAGGAGTAATGGTAAAAGGTAGCGGAAATCGTTGTGGTTATGGATTAGTTCTGTATCTTCATTGCAGTGGTGGTTACATCGATCTACACAATGTAAAACTACACACACACTTTCCCCCAATGTCAATTACTAAGCTTTAGTGTTGTACTATAATTATTTAATATATAGCCATCAGGAGAAACTGCATGAGGGGTACACAGGACCTCTCTACTATTTTACAGCTCCTTATGACTCTATAATTATTTCATACTGAGGAGATTTTTTTTTTGTGATACCAGGGTTTGAACTCAGGGCCTATAGCCTGAGCCACTCCAGCCCCCGCCCCGCTTTTGGTGATGGCTTTTTTCGAGATAGGGTCTTGCAAACTATTTGCCCAAGCTGGCTTTGAATCGTGATCCTCGTGATCCCTGCCTCCTGAGTAGCTAGGATTACAGGTGTGAGCCACTGGCTCTCAGCTTAAGGTGCTTTTTTTTAAAAAAAAAGAGCACTCAAGGGTCAGGAATGTAGTTCAGTGATGTAGTGCTGCCTAATATTTATGAAGTCCTAAGTTCCATCACCATAAAACAAACAAAAAAACCCAACAACACTGTAGTGGTTGTGGGGCATGGATGTGATAAGGACCAAAGAGGATGAAGGTTGGAGCAAATAGTCTTGTGATTCCTATCAGATGAAAGATGCTGTCTGGACCCTCACTATATTTGTTATGATGGAGAAAGGGGGACAGATGGAAAGGATGATAAAAGAGTAGAATCAGCAGGACCTTGGTAAAACCCAACCAGATGTTTAGGAGGTAAGGGAGAGAGAGGACTCTGTGTTGATTCCTAGGCCTGTAGCTTGGGTGACTTAAGTACACGCTAGGCATCTCAAATAGAGCCTGAGTTATATCTTTGTAACTAAAAAATGTTGAGTTGGAGTTTTTTGTTTGTTTGTGTTCTGAGGCAGGGTCTCGCTGTGTTGCCTAGGCTGATCTCAAACTCCTAGGCTCCAGCAATCCTTCTCAACCTCCTGAGCAGCTGAAATTATAGGTGTGCATCACTTCATCCAAGATGCTGCTCTTTTGAGAATTTTCTGAAATGCCTTAAAGTCTTTTGGGATGTACTATAGTCTATTATGAAGCCAGATATTCATGTAATTTTCCTTGGACTTTTCTTTTTGCCTACCTAGTCTGTTGCATCTATTTAAGGAATGAGTTTCAAAGTAGTTAAGAACTACATGACATTGGACCATGATTTCCTCCTCTGTAAAATGAACATGATATCTTGTAATAATATATTAATAATTGTTCCCTCTCTGAGTTTTTATGAGAAACAAATGAGATAATATATGTAAAGTACCTCATATATATCAATTGCCTAAGGTGTACTCCTCCTCCTGTGACTGCTGCTAACAAAAATTACAGTGAGAAAAATGTTAAAATGCAATAGATCCTGTCTATTGTAGCCAGCTACAGAAATGCTCAGATTCTCTAGAATAGTCTATTTTCCCCTTAATTTCTGTTTTCCAGTTCCTTCAGTGATCCTTAAAGAGTGGTCTGCCTATAAAGGGAAGTCACCTCAAACCCCTGAACTCGTATCTGCACTGACATTTCGGGAATGGACTTGCCCCAACCTCAAAAAGCTCTGGCTAGGCAAAGCAGTTGAGGACAAGAACAGAAGGATGAGGGCTTTCCTGGCCTGTATGAAGTCAGACACACCCAGTATGCTCAATCCTGCTAATGTTCCTACTCATCTGCTGCTCATGTGCTGTGTACTCCGGTAAGCCATATGACAGGGTTTCTCTTCTACTTTTTTGGACATTTCCTTTAAGCAGGTGTTTTTATGTCATTTCTTGGTGGGGAGTTTTCTGTTTTATGCTTGGCTTAGATCTCAGAAACATTGGAAATGATTACTACGTAGTTACCTCAGTGTATGATCCTCTGTCATCAGTCCATGCATGACCCCTCAATTATTTGGTTATACTTCAGGTTTTTTCACCTTCAATCCTCATTCCTGATCCAGTTTCCTTTGACATGTATACTTCTAAGCCATCTTCCATATGTTTTTTTAGATATGTGTATATCCATGCAGTCTGTAATATTTTGTTTTTGGTGTTGAGGATGGAATTCAGGGATTCATGCATACTAACCAAGTGCGGTACCACTGAGCTGTTTGAACACTGAAGTAACACATGGAGGGGACTTATTATATAATAGATGTTAAATGTATGTTAATTCCCTAACTATCTTAAAAATAGCATTGCCCAGCAATATCAAGTAAACACAGGACAGAAACATTGAACTATAGCCTACTTGAGTACAAGAACTAAACTTCTCAATTACTTATACTAACTATAGGTAAACAAAGCCTCCCATGAAAGTAAAGTAACACTGGAGAAGTTGTGACTAAAATGTTTGTTGGTGAAGTTCTTGAGGTTGGTCCAGAGAAATAGTCTTTTAGGAAAGAGTGACATAATTTGAAAAAAATAGGAAGAACTTTTGCATATATGTTAGTTATCACTGAAGAGCTCTTTCAGACTTCTGGGGTTGGAGTGAAGCCCTGTTGAATGTCCAGGGGCATGCACCAAGGCCATATCATTTCTACCAAAGTTCACTGAAATCTAAATAGTTTTTCAGAAATAGAACCTGAAATTAGACAAGGTCTCTTCTCTTGATTTATTAATACATTTGAGAAGTCTGTCTGATAAATAATTCTATTAAAAAGCACTAGAGGCTGGGGGGATGGCTCAAGCCTGTAATCCTAGCTATTTGAGAGGCGGAGATTGGGAAAATCACAGTTCAAGGCCAGCCTGGGAAAAAAGTTCATGATATCCCATTTCAACCAATGGCTGGGCGTGATGGTGCATGCCTGTCATCCCAGTTGTGCAGGGAAGCATAAGTAACAGGATCCAGGTTCAGGCTGGCCAAGACATAAATTGAGACCCTGTCTTAAAAAAAATGCAAAAAAGGCTGAGGGAGTGGCTCATGTGGTATAGTGCCTGTCTAGCAAGAATGAGGCCCTGAGTTCAACTTCTAGAACCAAGAGAGAGGGGTAGGGAGAGGGTGGGAGGGAGGGAGAGAAAAGAAGAGAAAAAAGGAAAAAGGAAAGGAAGAAAGAAGCACAGGAGGATGAGGACTTGAGCTCAATCTCCAGGACTGCAAAAAGTGAAAGAAAGCACTGGATCCACTCCCAGCATAGGCCATTTGGGTTGATTATGTGCCATTCTGATAGAAAATAAAAATATATGCAAACAGAACATATACTTGACAATAATTTTAAGTCAATCAGGATAATCAAGCAAGTAAGGAAGAGTACCTTAGAGACTTTCAAGACAAAAATAGTCAGAAGGAATAAAGAGGGTCACCATTTATTAATAAAGGGAACATTCTGTCAAGAAGATTTAACAGTTGTAAATATGTATGCACCAAACATTGGTGTATGCAATTTCATTTAAAAAACACTATTTGACATAAAGGGACAGATAGGTCTAGATACAGTAATAGTGGGTAACTTCAATACCCTGCTCTCATCAATACACAGAACAGACCAAAAAAAGTATCAACAAGAAAACTTCAGAGTTAAATTGTACCATAGCCTAGATGGACATTTACACAATATTCCATCTATCTTCTATGGAATACACTGTCTTAACAGCAGCTCATGGAATCCTCTCCAAAATCTTATTTTAGGCCATAAAGCAAGTTTTGACAAATAAAAAAACAAGTAATTTCTTGTATATTATTGGATCATCATGGAATAAAGTTAGAAATCAATAGCAAGAGAAACAAGTATACAAATAAATAGATATTGAACAATACACTTTTGAATGATCACTGAATCATTGAAGGTATCAGGGAGGAAATTTAAAAACTCTTATAATCTAATGAATATGAAAATACTATTTACCAAAACGTTTGGGACACAGCAATGGCAATTTTATGAGGGAAGTTTATGACTATAAACATTAAAAACTCAGAAAGCTCTCAAATAAATAATCTAATGGTGCAAAATCTTAGAAAAACAAGCACAAGTGAAACTAAAATTAGTAGATGGAAAGAAATTATAAAGATCATAGTGGAAATGAATGAAACGGGGACTAAAAGAACAATACAGAGGATCAGAGAAACCAAGAGTTGGTTCTTTCATCTTGAAGATGAAGAACATTGACAACTCCTTAGTCAAACTAACCAAAAGAAAGAAAATGGGCTGGAGATGTGGCTGAAGTGATAGAGAACCTTGCCTAGCAAGCTCCCCAGAAAAATCTGATAAATTCAGCAAAGCAGGAGGATATAAAATCAACCTACATAAGTCAGTATCTTTTCTATATGCCAGTAACAAACATGCTAATAAAAACAATTCCATTTTCAATAGCCTCAAAAAATACCTAGGAATAAACCCAGCAAAGAAAGTGAAAGACCTCTACAATTAAAATTATAAAACATCAAAGAAAGTGATTGAAGAAGATACTGGAAGATGGAAACATCTCCCATGCTCATGGATAGACAGAATTAATATTGTAAAAATGGCTATACTACTGGAAGAAATCAACAGATTTAATGTAATCCCATCAAGATCCCAATGTCATTTTTCACAGAAATAGAAAAATCAATCCTATTCTTCATAGCAATAGAAAAATCAATCCTAAATTCCTATGGAAGCACAAAATGCCTTGATTACTTAAAGCAATCCTGAGAAAAAAAGAGCAATGCAGAGGTATCCACAATATCAGACTTTAAATTATACTACAGAGCCATAGTAAAAAACAAACAAGCAAACAAAAAAGCATGGAACTGACACAAAGACCCATGGAATAAAATGGAAAACCCCAAAATAAATCCATACACAACCAATTGATTTTTGATAAAGGAGCAAAAAAATAAATGTTGGAGAAAAGATAACCAATTTTCCCAGCACCATTTGTTGAAGAGGTTATCTATATGCAAAGCATATGGATCAAAGATCTTAATAGAAGACCTAAAACTTTGAAACTTCTACAGGGAAACATAGGGAAAACTCAGACATAAGCATAAGCAGTCATTTCCTAAACAGGAGTCCAATTGCTGAGGAAATAAGAGGAAGTAATTGACAAATGGGACTGCATGAAACTAAAAAAATTACCAGAATCAAGAGATAACACAAAGAATGAGAGAAAATCCTTGCCAGCTATTTAGTGGATAAAGGATCAATGTTTAGGATATGCAAATACCTCAAAAAGTTAAACAGCAAAAGAACAAATAATCCAATTAGTAAATTGGAAAACAAATAGTTCTCAGAAGAAGTACAAATGGTTAATAAACATGAAGAAATGTTCAACATCATTACCCATAAGGGAAATGCAAATGAAAACTACATTGACATTCCATCTCACACCAGTCAGAATGGCTATCATGAAGAAAACATTAAGTCCTGCTTAGGATGTGAGGAGAAAAGGAACCCTTATACAGTACTGGTGGGAATATAAACTAGAGCAACCTCTATGGAGATCAGTATGGCGGCTCATCTAAAAGCTGAAAATAGACCTACCTTATCTTGCTATGCCACACTTGGGCATATATCCAAAGAAGTGTAAATCAATATACAAGTGATAACTGCACACCATGTTCACCACAGCACTATTCACAATAGTCAAGCTATGGAATCAGCCCAGGTGCCCATCAACAGGTGAATGGATAAAGACACAGCCATAGGAAGAACGAAATGATGCCATTTGCAGGAAAGTAGATGAGACTGGAGATCATCATTTTGAGTGAAATAAGCCAAGCTCAAAAAGCCAAACATAACATGTTTTAGATCATTTATGGAATCTAAATCTAAAATGGTAACAATAATAATGAAAATGGGACATGAATGTAAATGGAGGACTATGGGAGGTGAAATCAGTGGGAGGGAAGTGGTATAAGAGGGTATGGGAAGTGAAGAGGTTCAAAGTATATTACATCTATTTATATACGAAACTCACCAAATACTGTTTGAAACATAGGGCTGGAGGGAGGGAGGCTAAGGGAATATAGTGGAAGGGATGGACTTGTTCAAAGTATGCATCTATGAAGTTTTCATGATGCAACTCACCCTATTAATAAAAATTTTTAAGTAAAACTAAAAAAACTTAAGAAACTAAAAAAGACACTAGAGGATGTAATGAGCTCCCATTTCACGGATCTGCAGAATTAGCATCATAAAAGTGATTATATTACTGAAAATCAAATTCAAGTTTAAGGAAATCCTGTCAAAATTGCAATGAAATTTTTCATTGGAATAGAAAAAAAGTCCTAAAAACCATATGGAGACACAAAAGACACAGAGTAGCCAAAGCAATTCTGTGCAAAAAGAGCGATACTGGATGTATTACAATTCCAGATTTCAAATTACACTACAGAGCCACAGCAATGAAAACAGCATGGTCCTGGCATAAAAACACACATAGATCAATGGAATAAAGAACCCAGAAATAAGCTCACACAGCTATAGAACTTGATTCTCAACAAAGGTACCAAAAACATACATTGGAGACAGAAATTGTGTTGGGAAAACTGGATATCCACATGTAGAAGACTGAAACTAGATCTCGTTCTCTCATCTTGTATTAAAATCAATTAAAATGGACCAAGGACCTTAATATAAGGCCTGAAATTTTGAAGCTACTAGAGGGAAACATAAGGAAAATACTTCAAAATATAGGCATAGGCAATGACTTTCTGAATAGGATACCAATAGCTCAGGAAACAAGAACAAGAATACATGAATGGGATTACATCAAATTAAGAAGCTTCTGTTCAGCAGAGGTACCAATTACCAGAGTTAACAGACAGCCTACTGAATGGGAGAA